ATTAAATTAAATTAATTAAATGAAATGAAAAATAAATATAGAGTAGATAAGATAGTCATAAAATATATATAATTATATTATATGCCTAGTGATTTCTAAAAAAGCACTTCAAATTAATCTTCGAAAGAACCAAAAGACTAAATAAATAAATAATACAGTTATGAGAGAAAGTATAATAACCAAAATATGATTGTTTCTTCATAACTGAATTAATAATTCTTTCATTTTTTTAAACCAAAGTAAATATAATTCTAAAAGTATTTTCTATACGTATGTATAATACATATGTGGATTTAAAGAAAAAATATAAAAAAATATTTAAGCAAGATATAAAATTCAGAAATACCAGATTTCATTAAGTTTTTTATTTTTGATTTTATAGTATACATTCGACGTGGAAAAAACTCTTAAAAAATGTCAGCGTCTATAAAACTGTCAGACTTAAAAATATTTTTATTTTAATAGAATCTTATGCTTAGCATGCATACTGTGGGCAAAAAATAGTAAGACATTTTAATTTAAATCATGCAAAAACCCATTCATCGAAATATTAATTTTTTTTTAATTGGTATGACTGCCAGTGGCATCTGTACTAATTTTTATATCAAAATAATCATTAGTGTATAGTGTACGCTTGTCTTTCTGAAGTACATAAAGTGCATTCGCCGATTTTTACGATGAGTAAAATTAGTCAAAAAAGAAATTCCCTTAAATTTCGTGTGCGGAATTAAATTTCTATTGCTGAAACGTTCAGAATGTTGTAACAGGTCCTCGATGTAATTGTTTGTCGCAAGCAAGTGTTTTTGATAAACAAATACAAATTATTCAAAGAGCCTTGACGATCCACGTCCAGGACGGCCATCAACATCAACTGATGATCAACATCTCAATAAAATAATGAATGCGTGAGAATTGACAATGAATAGTCAGAAACCTTACTGGCATCGTTTGAATATGGGAACGAACAGTGAGAACCATTTGGGTCTAAGAAAAATGAAAGTACGATTGGTTCCAAATTGCTCAATTTCTTCGAAAAGTAACGTCGCGTTAACGTCTATGAAGCAATGCTTTCCGACTATCAGGATGTCATGAAGCGTATTATTACTGGGATGTGTTTTAGATCTATGCTTACAACCCAGAAACATATGATCAAATGTCGTGGTGAAAGGTTTCTTCGATTATCGCAGTGTAGTGCACTCCGAATTCTTTACGACCGGCCAAACTGTCAATAAGGAATACTATTTGAATGTTATGCAATATCGTGCCGTTGTCGCCTGATTTAGTTCCCTGTGACTTTATTGGTTATTCAGCAAGATCAAACGGCCGCTCCGAGGTAACCTTTTTGAGTCAATTGAAGACATTAAACGTGAACCGCTACGTGCATTGAAGGCTATTCCGGAAATTGACTTTAACAGCTGTTTCGAGGGTTGGAAAAACCTTGTCGCAAGTCGCAAACACATATTGGGGTCAAGGGGGATGACATAGATTTTGAAGAACAAATTAGGAACATCAGAATTATGAACAAACTGTTACTATTTTTTGCTTATAGTAGCAAATCTAAATATTAATTATTTATAAT